CCAGGTTGGTTGATGGGGTCCACACAGGAGTGGCAACTGGGGATCTGTGTGTGGGTAGCTTCCAGGTGTCCTGTGTGGGAGCTGCATCCAGGATTTCTACTCAGATGAGTGGCCAATGTTCTGTGGGAGTGCTGATGCTGGTGGTCCCACTCAGGCACCAGGTAGTCCTGCATGGGCGAATAGTTGGGAGACCTACTCTGATGCTGAGTCCTGGAACCCTGCATAGTCACGGTGGCTGTGATTCCTGTGCGGAAGCAGGAATATCCCTCGCAGAGAAGCAGTGTTCTCACTTGTTGAGGTCCAAGTCATGGAGCGACACAGAATGCCGCCTCCCTCTGGCCCGCCACCTTGGATCGGCCTACCCAGGGTTATTACTGTTTCTCCTATGATTCTTTGATCTACAGTATTATTCATCACAAGTATTATGATTAGGAGTTTTGCAACTTGAACACATTTCAAGAATTTTTTTAAAAAAGAAACATTGTGAAAACTATTCTGTATGTCATCACACATCTCTCAAGCATCAAGTCACTACACAACACACGGAGAAAACTACTGCTTCCTTATATTCACTAAGCAGGACTCACAGAGGTGTGCCTTGGGCAGATGTGGGTGAGGCCTGTTCTGTAATGGTGGAAATTTTACTTAACAAGGTGGCCATGGATGGTGGAGCTAGAATTTGCACACCAAATAAAGAAAATTCCTGCCTTTCTATCTTTTTTTTCACTTTGCCAATATTACCACCCACTGATGTAATGAGAGTCACCAAATATAATTAGACTTAGGATAGAGGGACAGATTGACTTTTTATATTTGAAATCAAGTGTTCATATTTTAATTTCTCCCTGAGGGTTTGGCACACCATACATCAGACCATCTGTTTGAAATTATACTTCATAATGGGGTTAAAAAATATCTTTTAAGAAAGGCCAAATAAAGAGTTGTGTACATTGTAGATGGGATCCATAATAATTAGCTTCTTTGTTCTCATATTAAACTTTACATTAATATTGTAGGAAAGACATTTTAATGTATGATATGAATTGAAATACATTTTTAATTTTTTAAAAGATTTTTTGTATCACTAGAATATTTCTCTAACATGTAGTGATCATTAAAGACTAAAATTCCTAGAGAATTTATCAAAATTAGCTGAACTACATTAGGCAATATAAACTATATCATTACATTTATTTTTAGTGCAAATTTTATTTTGCACTAAAACTTCAATTTTTAATTTTAAAATTTTTATTATAGACAATTCTATATAAATTTATTTCTTCAATATCTTAGAGTGCAATGCATTTTTATTTCTGATCTATCATGTGTTGAAACATAGTCATGAATTCTCTGCCAAGGGTGAGCCAGACAAATGTTCTTTATCTGTTTTAAAGAATAATGAAAAGTATTGATTCCCAAACTATTGCATTCATATAAGAGTTAAAAATATACCATAATTATATATTTAGTATGAAATATAGAAAGCTAATTCTATTAATTAAAATTAAAATACTAATTTTACATTGATAGGAAACATCCATATTAATTTATTTTAGGACTTTCAAGCTTTTAAAATACTTATTATTTTGCTATTTCCTCACAGTATTACTATGAATGTAGCTTGGGCCATTTCACTCTTCTCAATGTATAGGAAAGAATTGGCTTAAAAGAGTGAAGTGTTACATGGCCTTTCTAAAACCACTTTGTTTTAGAAGCTGGTAGAGTTCTCCAGTTTCTATTTAAATATCTCCTCATTCTATAGTTAGCTGCTAGATTCTGTTCTTTCTTCACACAATTGTCAGAAAGAAGTCTGCAAAAATCTTAATCAGATCCTATCACTCACGTGATTAAGCCTTGGTACCAAGTGACCATTTTTTTTTTTTTTCAGGAGATAGCCCCAAATCCTTCGTAGTGTCCAGCCTCTGCTGTTTCCACCTTTATCACATGCTGTGGCTGTTCCTTGCTCATCAGGCTTCAGCTACATGGGCCTTCTCTTTGTTCTTGCCATGTGTGGCAAAGGAGTCTGCCCTTGCTGCCCACTCTGCCTGGTGTGCTGGTCCTTTATCTTCACCCAGCAGCACTGAGTGATCACAGAGGTTTTGGTGTCAATGCTACTCACTCAAAGAAGCCTTCCTCTAATCCACCACACCACATCAGTTCTTCTTGCTTCAACAAACCTTTAATTACTCATCAGTTGAAAATGACATGTTTTCCTTTGCGGTAGTTTCTTTGGCACCTGCCACTGCTCTGTGAGTCTGTTGGAGTCAGAATCATGTCTCTTTGGTTCATTGCTACCCTCCAGAGCTGGTCAAGTGTTTGGCACATAGTAGCAGCTCAGGGAACACATAAGTTCTAAGAGAATGAATGAATCCATTTGGCGGTACATAGTTCTTTTCCCCTTTATTAAATGAGGGAATTATCAGAATTTTCTCCTTCCTGGGAATGTGCATATAGAAATGACTTCTGATACTTGAATGATTTAGGCAACTGTTAAAACATTAGTAGAACAGTTTATTTTTTTTTAAATACAATGAGTTAGAAGCTAGAATATCCTCCCTTTGAGGTTTAATTAGAGGATAGCTTAATTAGCATGAGTTAATGCAAGCTCTGTTGCTGTGTGAGGGCTATGATTTATAAACAAAGACTTGGACTTAAGATATGATTTGCAGAACAAAGATTGGACTTAAGATATTCTTTGGTTTTTATGTTTGATTCTTTGTGCTTCATTCAACTCTTTGCTTGTCCTTGGATAGGGAAAGTGCTTTGGATTTCTTCACTTGATTCTGATTTCTTTTTTCTCTATCATGATGTACAGTCAGGCCAGCTATAACATGGCATATATATTTCTAAAAATTACTGCGCTCTGCAAAACCACACAATAGAAACCATAAGGCAGGGAATGTGACTAGGAATGCAATACTAAAAATTTTGTCAGTGACACTTTAAAAAAAAAGAAACTAATAAAAATGGTAGTGGAGTTTTCCATGCGTTAAATGGTTAAGAAATACATAAATACTGCAATGAATTTGACATTTTACCTTGAAAAAGACCTACAGTTGACTTGTGGGTGTGGGCGTCAAAAGCCATGCAGCTGCTAAGTTATCATAGAGTGAGCACAGAATGATTGTGGCTCATGATGTGCACAGTGGACTAAGGTCTGTTTGAAATGTGGGTATTTTGTGTATTTCTATGCAACTTGGGTCAGCAGGGTACAATATTTTTCTCATGAATGAAGTTGGGCAGAAGCAAATGTGAGATTTGTGTCATGCTCAAGTTGTTCCCTGATTTATCAATTGCACTGGAACAAATTTGTACTTTTAAGAGAAGTATAACAGCAGATCTGACTCAAGTGAGTCCACAAAGAAAAGAATGTTGATTGTGTGTAGTAACTGAGTATTTTTATTGGTAAAAATATATATAATGTAAAATTCCCATTTTAGCCATTTGTACCAAGTTAGCCTAGTTCTTTTCTAAGACCAACATTTTTTTCCTTTCCAAAGCTTTCAGAATATCACATTCTAAAGTGTCAGTATAAAATTTTGATTTTTTTCTGATGTTGATAAAAGTAACTGATTTGGGAGTTAAAAATTGATTAAGGACTCAAAAAAGATTGCTTCACAATTGATAAGTGAATGTTTCTAGTAATACTATTAGGTCATGTGCTAAATGTAAAAAGTGCATTTGCACTTGCAACCTACTCATCATCTCCAACAGATGTTTATCCAGCTGAAAAATTATGACAAATGTATATGGAAAATAACAACAGCATAACATTAAAGGTGTTAAGTATAGTAGGCGCATTTGGAATCCAAGGAAGGGAGAGAATGATGGTCTGGTGAGGAAGAATTCCAGAAGGTGTGGCTATAGCTGAGCCTTAGAGAGGCCCTTGGTTTCCAATGGAGACCTTGGAGAGTATTTGAAGCAGAAGCAAGGACATGGTCAAAGGTGCAGAGGAAGGAGGATGTGTAGGCATTTTTAGAGGATAATGATTTATTTCTAGATGAGACGCTGATATTTTCTTCAGGACAAATTCCCCCTCATAAGTTAGAACTAAAGAAAATTCATCTTTTGTGTCACTTCCTATGAGTACGCCCCATGTGATGGATCGCATTTAACCCTGAGTGATCCATGAGACAGAGTAATAGAATTTGATTAATGGCAACATAGAAGTCTCTGCTTCTCTTCTTTCCTGTTAGTAATTTATGTTCCTCATAATAAAACTATGCATCTTTGGTTTTATCATAGAATTACATATTCATATAGAAAGTGCTCAATTTAGTAGCAGCAATAAGTACGGCATGCTTAAAAATGGCAATAAGAATAACAGAATCCAAACAAAACAAAAAGAGAATAGCTAAATCAATTTTATAAGGAGGATCTAAGCCCTTGCAGAACCAAATACTCTGAGTCATTCTATCTTTTGATCCATAGTCTCCATTGGTAAAATGATCTACTTATCTAGAATTATAAAAACAGTAGGTGATTTGGCTTATTTTTATCTCTGAAAACCTCATATGGCAAAATTAAAACTCATTCATTATCTTGTAAACTTGAAGGTTTTTGTCCTTTTATGAAAACAGTAATATAAAGAATATGGCAAAGATTGAGAACATGAAATAATTTTGAATAGATATATATAATGCTCCTATTAATTACTATCTGAATTACTTTGCTTTCGATAGTCTTTTGGAGTCATCATTCTTCATAGAAAGCAACTTGGTTTAGGGGAAATCATAAAATTTTGGAATCAAATCATCCACTACTCAAAATCTGTTACCTTTTGGTCTCTGTGAAGTTGGATACATCATTTACATATCACTGATCCTTGGTTCCCTTGTCTATCACAATAGATAAATAACAGAATCTATTTCATGGGGTTGTCACAGGGATGAAATTAACACATATGACACTCACGCTAGCACTTAGGGACCAACAGCTATTACTAGTTATTTTTTTGTCCTAAATACATTCTTGAAAGTTCTTCCTTGTGTCTTTCACAGCATGAGAAGCTGATACATGAACTGGAAGAGGAGAGACACTTGCGTCTTCAAAGTGAGAAGCGGTTGCGGGAGGTGACCCTTGAGTCCGAGCGCAACAGAGTTCAGATGCGCGGTCTGCAGCGGCAATTCTCCAGGTACTGTTCTTGACTGAGAGATGTCCCTTTGTGCACCCTTGGGCTATGTTTTCATTGCTCAAGCTGATTTCCTAACACTTTAGATTTTCTATTTTGACTAAGCCATCCTATGACATCTGGGCCAATTTTCTGAAACTTTTCACTTACCCTTGAAGTAGTCTCGGCTATATTGACACTGGTCGCCTGCTTTTTGCCCCAAAGGCTTCTCAAAATGTCTTTTGTGAGTATGCGTTGTCTTTGTGACCTATGACCATGTCCAGTGTCAGGTCAGTCAGAGAAATGAGATTGTGCTTGTCATCCCAGTCCTAGTAGGTGAGTGTGGATCTAATCATTCAGAAAAAAAAAAAAAAACTCATTTAGGGCTGTCATAGCTCAGTGGTGGAGCACTTTCCTAGTATGTGTGAGGCACTGGGTTCGATCCTCAGCACCACATAAAAATAAATAAAAGAAAGTAAAGATAGTATATCCATCTAAAACTAAAACAAAAAGTTTTAAAAAAGAAAAAAACTTATATATATGTGCTAAAGAAAAGAAAACAAAGCAAAATAAAACAATGCATTCCTTTTTTTTTTTTGAAAACAATATATTCCTTTCTTTTAAAAAGATGTAACTAGCTGAGAGCGGTGACACAAGGATGGAAAGTTCAGATCCAGCCTCAGCCACATAGTGAGGCCCTAAGCAACTCAGTGAGAACCTGTCTCTAAATAAAATATAAAAAAGGGCTGGAAATGTGGCTCAGTGGTTGAGCGCCTCTGGTTTAAATTCCCGGAATCAAAACTTAAAAAAAAAAAAAAAAGATATAACTAAAATTTGAAGGGAGGATTCTGAAAAAGGAGCTATTTTTGGATTTGATTCTGGCATAGTTAGAATCTTTCAACTGCAATTATAGTTAATATGGGGCCAGGTGACAGTTCAACCCATTATGTTAAAATCTATTCAGTGGCATGGGAAAAAAATAAAACTTGTACATTTATATTCCTTAGACCAGATACAGGGCCCCGGTGAAGGACAATATGCTTTTATTTCTATTTTTCACCATTTATAAAATCAGGAAAATAATTTGTTTCACTTCTCCAACATGAACTTATCCCAAGCAGTATCATGTTTGGGCAGTTGCTTTACAAGGCTTTGCCAGCGAACTGTTAGGGATCTTGCCTTTAACTTGTCACTGGGATTTGTATGATTATAGATCAGTATTTGATGCTCTAGATTACTCGTTATGAAGTTATATAATGGTAGTTTAAGTTTTTCACATGTTTCAGGGAGATCAAATTTCAGCCTTCAGGTTATTTACCTCACTGTGTCTAATATGATGATTGCTGTGACTCTGGTTTAAGGGCTTCTTAAGGAACAAAGCAGGAAGAGTGGATGACTTCTCTGTGTTCAGGATCATAAGTGAACGCCCTGTTAAGCTATACAAGATCATGATAATGCACAGGTGCTGTAGAAATGCACCAATTGATACTGTAACAAATCTACCCTCCATCCCTCTCAGGCTGTTACTGACACTACTTTATATCCTCAATTTTTCTTCCATTTGGTGGGAATGCTCATCAGTGTCCCAACTGGAAATAATAGATTCCCCCCAAACCAACTTTAAAAGAAGTATCATTTTTTTTAAATACTTGCCATTTTAATGATACAGGAAAGGAGGAGGCAGATCTTGCTTTTTTTCTGTGTCTAATCGAGATGTCTCTATATTCAAGCTATTGATTTCCATGATATGAGACACATGGCACAGTGAATTATTTTCATATGATGCCGGGTCATCTGCTGTACATCAGATGACAATCCTATACAGATTTGAATTATAGAAGAGCAAGACTGTATCCTAAGCTGAAAGAAAAGATAATTATATGTATGATAAATAGTGGTGGATTCTACATACTGCTTTTGTGAGGATTTTTTTCCCAGTATAATCAGTTTTCTTATGTAAACCTTCATTGAAACTGAAAAGTTCAAGTCCAATTACAGCTAGACAACTAATATAAATCAGTGAAAGATGGAGGGGGATAAGCATAAATAAAAGATAAGATAATTACACTATAATTTGGGGGAGATCTAATGAACCACATCTGATAGCCTTTCATAGTTTAAATTTTGGTTTTGAAGATATTTCTACTAATGCTTATTTAAATAATCCTGTTAATTTAAGTCTTTATAAAATTTTCAATATTATAGAATATGCCCTCGGACATGTTTAGCATTTAAATGTTCATATAATTTATATAATCCAAACTATTACATTGAATTAAAAATTTTATATTCATAATTTTATCACTTTTACTCTGGGTTGATCAGTTCATTTGGTATGGGGTTATTATTTGGGATGTGGACATAATTTGTTCATGAGCTGAGGTTTCCTTTTAAGATTGTTCATAATCTCCTATCTCAAAGAATGTGGCATGGCTTACAATAAAAGGTAGATTTACAGTAAGGCTGAAAAAATAAAAACAGAAAATAAAGATCACAAAAGTAAATGTCAAATAGGCATAGTCACCTAGCCCAACAGGTTTTCTGAGAATGAGTGGCTAACGTGTTGCAAAGGAAAACACAAGAGGTATGTAATTGTTATATCATAGTCAAAGGCTACTGTTTCCTAAATAGAGAAACACTATCTATGGAAATAAGTTCATAATAGAATGTATCAGATAGGGCTCTTCATAGGAGACATTGATGGATACAATAGACATTGGTTCAAGATGATGAAAATTAGGATAATTCTTAAGAATGCTACTACTTCCACTATGTCACTTAAGTCTGAAAAGTTAAACAGTTTATGAATTTTGTAATACATGAAGTAAGAATATCAGGTTTATGTCTGAAGGATCACTTGAAATAAGAACTTTTCTATTGCCCAATGCTTTTAAGTCAACCACTGTATGTACTTTCTATTTTTTTTTTCCACAGAGCAATAAGATACAGATGCCTGAGTTTGGTTGTACGAAGGGTTTCTTGGTATATTTGATAGCATAATAAATAGGGGAGCCTTTCATATAGCACTTAAGGGCTTCCAATTTCAGCTTCAGAGATAATATGAGGCAATGGAGAAGGAACTGAATAAAAAGTTAGATACTGAACAGTTAGGGGCATGTGGGAGATGGTGTTCTTCAGATGCCAAGATGAGTGATTGAAGAAAGCAAGTCTAGGTTCTGGTTTATGATATTTCAGCTGTGTGCTAGACCTGATGGCTTGAAGACACACAGCAAATCTGAACATTTGTGATTATCTGTGTTAATGAGTAATAGGGTCACTTACGATAAAAATACATAAAACTGTTTGAGTGAGCAGTTCCCTTTATATCACCCTCAAATTTCCATCCATGATGCCTTCCTCCCTCTTGACCTCTGATTAGGGTATGATGAACAGCAATGGTCCAAACTTTGGACAATAAAAGACAAAGAATATGCAACCAGAAGCCACATAATCAGCTCAAACTCATAAATCAGAAATTCCCTGCATGGAGAGGGTTGCAGACAAATATAACAAACTTCTTCTGGCCATTTATATTCCTTAATGTAAATGCAGAGAAGAAAAAAAAAATAGATACTTTCAAATTAAGCCCTCCCCACTGTTGACAGAACCCGTTTAATAAGGGGTACCTGAGGCAGGTGGTGGTGTCATTAGGGCCTTCTCTTGCTGCTGTTGTTATTTGGTGATATAAATTAAAGATGCTTTCCAGATGTGATCGTGATTGCCTAACCGCTGTCTGGAGGAATACATGGCTGGGCATATTTTATGAGGGATTCCTTTTGTAATCATCTGTAATTCCGTAACTCTCTTCCCACCCTGAGTGCTTGTTGGAATTGTGCTTGTGTTGCCTGCCAACTTAGTGGTGTAGACTGAGGCTATGTCTCTGCCTTCTGGTCTGCGTCAAGAAATAATAGTTTAGCCCAAGCCTCTTTATTCTATTAGAGTTAATGAACTGTTTGCACAACAGCTAGATTCATTGGGAGGAGCACGTTCAGGAACATCACCTCCAAGTTGGGTGGGATTTGTTGACTTGTAATAATAGCTATTTTTAAAAAATAGGCTTGTGAAGTCCTAAGCATTTCTACAAGAACTGATTTTATATAAACCATATACATAATCATATGTACAACACCATATTATAACATAACTGTAAATGAGAGAAATTTTGTTCAGTCTCAGGACAGCCAGATTTCAGACTTGTTAATGGATTATGCTGATGCATGAATAGTCAGATGAAATTAATGATTGACTCATTCGAAGCTTTAAATTAGAATTGTTCTGGCAGATACGCCACCTGGCTGCCACACTTGAGAAACCCTCTTTGGTTAGCAAACTGTATCACATTCAAAGTTTCAGGAACTCTTTATATTCCTTAATGTAAATGCAGAGAAGGAAAAAAATAGATACTTTCAAATTAAGCCCTCCCCACTGTTTACAGGGCCCTTTTAATAAAGGGTACCTGAGGCAGGTGGTGGTGTCTTTAGGGCCGTTTATACACCAGGCACTGTACATCTAAGCAAGGGGAACAATTAGGTTTTGTCATTCTTAATTATCCAGAATATTTAAAAATCAACCAAGTCCATTCCAGGATTTCCCCAGGATTTCTCTGCCCCTGTTCTGTCCTTCCCCCTGGTGCTGTGATCTGCTGCCTTGGAGCTGTCTCTTTGCTTACAGTAATAGGGATTCTCCTGTCATAGTTGATTGCTATGCTTAAGTGCAGTCTGCTGCCTGCTGAACTTCAAGGAGCCATAAACGGGTATGGTTTCACCACTTGACTTGTTTACTGGTTGCTATTCACATTATGGGCTCTCAGAGACTTTATGAAATCCTAGGGTTCATATTCTGCTGCCCATTCTAAAGCTGTAGGCACCTGGCATAGAAGTGAGTGTGAAAGAGGATAATATGCCCTTAAATGTGCTACCCACGTACTCCGTTCTGCCTCTATATCTGTCTGGTACATTAAAAGAACATTTTCTCTGCATCTTTAGAAGGAGTGAAATACAACAAGATGAAAAAAAGCTATCAAT